CACACTGCTGGACTGAGATTTTTTTAAAAAAAAACACTTGTGCACACAATTAAAAGGAGCACAGGAACACAGTAAACAGACTAAAGTCTAACTAACGCCATCGCTCACTGACAGAGTCTGTTGAATCTCTGCAGCTCAGCCATCCACTGATGCCTGTGCTATCCCTTTCTCTGGTTCTTGCAATTGATATACAGCTGTTAATTCTGGAATTTTCATCACTGCCGCCAATACCTATTATGCCCATGCTATTGATTCCACTTCCTTGATGGTTCCAGAAAAGATCAGTGGAATTTTAGATAACCAGGACCCTTATTTATTCTCTTAGCTGAACACCCAGAACCTTCCATTATCCAGTCTTGACATGGCTCATACCCAAGTACACTTATGTGTAGGTGGAGATAGTCATATCAGAAGCAATTATGGGAATCACTGCACCTTCACAGGTGGAAGACTGGGTTTATAAACTGGGTTTATGAACTGAGTTTATGAATCTATCCTAGGAGTAGATGGAAGTTGTCATTATTACAGTGAGGCTCTTGACAAGGGCTCTGTGACTCTCCTATCACCAGTTCTGGCATCTGAGCCACCAGTGAAAGCAGAGAGATAGGAGCAGGGTAGGACTCTCTCCTGCATATCAGGAAGAGAAAATGACTCCCCAACTCCAAACCCCTCAGCAGACTTCTCCTCACAGCCTGTTGGACAAGACTGCAGTATAATGCCAGCCATAGCCGCAAGGGAGATAAGAAATTTAAAGTTTTGGTTTTTTGTAATCATCTCAAGAATGAGGACTGGGAAATGGCTCCATCAGTAAAGCACTTGCTATGTAAGCATGAACATCTGAGTCCCCAGAACCCAGTAAAAATGTCAAGTGTGGTGTCACATGCTTGTGATCCCTGTGCTGGAGAGGTACAGACTAAAGGATCCCCAGGGTAGCCTAGCCTAATTTGGCGAACTCCAGGTCAAGGAGAGATCCTGACTCAAAGGAAGTAGACAGTGTTCCAGAGGATGTCCTCTGACCTCCACATACACAAATGCACACATGCCCTAAAGCACCTGCATGCAATACACACACAGGAACATTCAAAAGAAAAAGAACAGCCAAGCGTGGTGGTGCATCCCAGCACTTGGGAAGCAGACACAAATAGACCTTGATGAGTTCAAGGCCAGACCGGTTTACATAGTAAGCTCCAGGCCAGCCAGGGCTGCATAGTAAGACCCTGTCTCAAAAAAGAGAAAAAAAAAGAAAAGGAAAAGAATGAGGTTTGGGAGGACATTCGCATGGTTGGCTCTCAGTGACTCCTACGGTGGCCACAGACATTTGGAATACATTTTATTAAACAGCCCCAAACACTATAGGGTAGTCAGATGGGGAGGCACATGCCTTTAACCACTGTAGGGCTTCTCAGAGCTTTTTAATATCACAGTGTTCATTGAGTTAGGGACAATATGATATTATACTTTTTTTGAGACAGGGACTCAATATGTCGCTCTGGGTGTCCTGAAACTCGGTGTAGACCAGGCTGGCCTCTCCCCCTTCCCAAGTGCTGGGATTAAAGGTGTGTGCCCCTATGCCCTGCTTATATTATGCTTTTTCAAACATAGAGAATCCAAAAATTATTTTTCCAAAGTAGAGAACCCAGTGTGGCAGACAGAAGCTCTTCCAGAAGATGACAGCTCCCAAACAAAAGATGGGGGTTCCCCGACACACAGCTAAAGTAGGCCTCATGGACGGTAAGTAAGAAGGAGGTTGAGTAGAGACTGGGAAGAGCTAAGAGGTTTTCGAGAGGCACGTTGCTTTGAGACGCCTCCAGCTGTTCTGATTTGTTTTCAGGACTCCTGTTTCCATGCTTTCTGTGCTTCCTTTGGGCACAGAGCTCGCTTGGTCCTGAGCCATCCTTATCTCCTCTTTCCTAACCCTTGCCACTTGCAATCTTCCTGATGCTGGTGATATTGGAGCTGCGCTGGCTTGGCTTCTCTGAGTGAAACCGAGCCCTTTGCCATATGGACACGTACTGTGTAGACTGCTGTTTTCCCTCAGGTCTGTTGCAGAGCATTGACAAGACCCAGAAGATGCTGATGGAGTTAGTCCCTGACTGGTTATTTAGGCTTGGGGTCATGAAACCCCACCTGGTCCTTTTGGCCATAAGTTGTCTTTTCTTTCACTGATTTCCGTAGCAACTTAGGTGTTGTGGGCAGCAGGTAACAGCAGCAGCCATCATCTTCACTGGCATAAAAAATAAAATAAAACATTTTTTAAAGATTAATTTTACTTTTAATTGTGTATGTGTGGTGTCTTTTGGGGCAATGTACACATTCCAATAGGTGCATTGTGGGCCAGAGGTGTTGGATCTTCCCAGAGCTGGATTTTTAGGCAGTTGTGAGCCTCTTGATGTGGGTGCTGGGAATTGAACTCAGCTCCTGTGGAAGAGCAACAAGTTCTCTTAACCACTGAGCCATGTCTCCAGGCCCTTAGTTGGCCCTCTCACACATGTAACTCTGGCTTGTTCTACACAGTGGGTATCTTAAGGACACAATACTTTATGTTTTATAGGTTAGTGGCTCTAACTGGATATATTTGGTTACTTAAACCATTTTCTGTTTGTGGTTTGCGTTTGTTGTTGTTGGCTTCTCTGGGAATAAGTTTCACATTGTAGCACAGGTTGGCCTGGAACTGTGTTGCCAAGACAAGCCTCAAACTTGTGATAATTTTCCTGCCTCAGCTCCTGAATGCTGGGATTGCAGGTGTGAGCCCCCATGCCCTGCATGCCATTGTTGTTAGTTTCCTTGAGGCGTGGTTTTTGTATCTTTGGTAGGTTGAGGATTTACCTATTTCCTATCTCGGTGCATCGTTAAACCTTGTGCTTGCCCCTCCCCCGCTTTGGTTGCAGCAGTAATTTGTGGTTTTGCTGTTTTTACTATTATAATTTTTTGTTTCTTGAGATTATAATATATCTTTTCCTTCCTTTCCTGTCCTCCTTTCAACCTCTCCCATGTGCCCCTATCCACTCTTTTAAATTAGTGGCCTCTTTTTCTCTAGTTGTTATGACATATGCCTGTGTGCATACACATTCCTAAGCACATAAACACAGCCTCCTGCTGCTGCCACCCTGTGCCCTCTGCACTGATTCGCTGTGCTGTTGTGTCTACCCTACCTTGTTATTCACAAGTCCTCTGGACCACTCACGCTTCACTATGAAAATAAGAGGCCATTCCCACCCTGCTGTCTCACAGTCTCTGGTTCCCACTGCCTCCCCTGGTACTTGAGAGGAAGCTGCAGGGTTGCCAGCATTCTGAGCACACCCAAGCTCATGGCCTGGCAGTTGGTTGCTCCAGATCCCAGCACTATTTCAGTAACAGCAGTCTCCCCTCGGCCTCCCGTCCCACTCTCGGGTTTCTTTTGTTCTCTGACCCCTCAATTCTTCAGTTCATCGGTATCCAACCATCTACTGGAACAAGGGCAAACACCTACCAGGGCCTCGTTCCTGTACAAACTGGCTAGAGAGATGGCTCAGTGGTTAAGAGTGTTTGCTGCTCTTCTGGAGGACCCGTGCTTGGTTCCCAGTATCCATGTCCACAGCTCACGGTTGTCTGTAACTCCAGCTCCAGGGTATCTGATACCCAGTTCTGGCTTAGCTAGCAGTTGCTTGCATGAGTGCGCGCATGCGTGTACACGTACACGTACACACACACACACACACACACACTAATACATAACTTTAAAGTTACAATCTTTAAAACGATAACTGACTCCCTGAAGCCCGCCTGCAGCCAGCAGTTGCCAGAAACTCCTCAGCAAGGATAGGACTTTCATAAATTTGATCAAAACACATTACATGCATGTTTGAGAGCCTCAAATAATAGGTGAAAACTAAAATAAGTTCTAAACAACAGCGAAATGTAACATCCCTCTCTCCTGCACTGAGGCATACCTGCACACCTAGAGCAACACCCAGTCTTGTCTTTGCCATCCTTTCTCTGTACACAGACCTGTCACTCAGGACCAGGTAGGGAAGGGAAGGTTTGCTCTTCCATCCACACAGCTTTTCTAAACAAAAGGATACATTCACACCCAGATTCACTCCACAGCTCCTTCAGTGTGGGAAGTGGTGGTTATTTCAACAGCAGAGATTTTTTTTAAATATCATTTCTTCCTTCCTGATTCATTACCTTTTAGGTATTTTATGAAACTCAAATGTGCCAAGATGAGGAAATGTGCCTTGTAAACCATCTCAGCTTCACAGATTTAAAAAAAAAAACAAAACAAAAAGACGGCTGTCATACATTGAAACAGCACCAGCTGCATTTTATAGCCTTTGGGAAGGAGGAGGGCTGAGCGCATAGAATATTAGGTTTTGAGTTTGTAACCAGATTCTGAGAACTGAGGATAATTGTGACCATATATAGACTTTTACTGGTGGGAAAGCCAGTGGCCTGCAGCCATCTCTAGAGAGTAGGGGCTGCAGTGGCTGGGGATGTCGCTGAGGTGGTAGAGCCTGGCATGCATAGAACCCTGAATTTGATACCATCAATACATAAACCGGGTGTGGTGCCCCATGCCTGTAATCCTTGCATTTGGGAGGTGAAGACAAGAGAATCAGGAGTTCACAATTGTACTAACAGGTATATGCCTACATTGCTAAGCAGTAAGTTCAAGGCCAGCCTCAGACACATGAGACCCTATCTCAAACAAAACCAGGTCGGGGAGCTGCAGAGGATAGTAATACTAACTGCAGATTTCCTTGGGGTGTCTGAAAGAGGGAAGGGAGCAGTTCTAAAAGATGGGGAGTAACGACTGAACCCCAGAGATGGCCGAGAATATATCTGGCCTATCAGCAAGTGTATCTGGGAACCTCAGGAGAGGCAGCCCAGGGCCTATTTCTGCCTTGTCTACTCACAGAGCAAAGGTCCCTCAGCCTTTGTCACGTCTCATGTCTGTTCCCATTATTACCCATAAGCCTACGGTCAGGCCTCTGACAAGCGCTCTACTGTGTTGTGTTCAGGGACAGGGTGCCTTGTCGGAGAGACTACGGAGCTTCAGCATGCAGGACCTCACCACCATCAGGGGTGATGGTGCCCCTGCTCCCTCAGGCTCACCTCCACCAGGGACTGGACGGTCCAGTGGCAAACATGGCCAGCCTAAGATGTCCAGGAGTGCTTCTGAGAGTGCTGGCAGCTCAGGTAGGTCTCTCCACTTCCCTCTCTCACTCTTGGGCCTCATTGTCATTAAGAGGAGCAGTACTGGATCACACACACAGTGTCTCTTGCCCCATGGACCTATCACCAACAGAGATATTTGTTAGATTATACCAGGCCAGATGAGAAGCACAGCCACTCAGGAAGCTGGCCTGGGGACTGTGCCTCGGGCAGGATAGGTTACTAGCATCAGCAGGTTATTCCACCATCATTGTCTGAGGAATCGGAGTGTTGGGTGCTAGTACCTCAGCCAAGTCAGGAGCAGAAATATAGTCTGGGCCGTGGGCGTACTTTCAATTCTCTCTGGCCCCATACTCAGGTCTCGTGGCCCCCTGAGCATCTCCTGCCACTCCTCAGGGATGGTGACACCCATAGGCTTTTAGATGATAGTGACTCAGGGAGCAGAGCTGAGTTGCTGACAGAAAATGGGGGACAGCAGGAAGTACAGAGGACAATGCTGGGTCACCACCTTCCCCTGATGGCAGAGAGTGGGGGAGGGTGCCAGTCACCACCTTCTCCTGATGGCAGAGAGTGGGGCAGGGTGCTGGGTCACTAACTTCCCCTGATAGTGGAGAGTGTGTTGGGGGGGTGTTGCTGGGTCACCACCTTTCCCCCTTCTTGTTACAGAATAATTAGAACTTGGGCTGTTCTGGAATATGATGTTACATATGTTTGTCCTGCCCTTAAACATGCAAACCAGTCCCTCCAGGGCACCTGGACCCTTACTGTGTACTATAAGAGGCAGCATGAAAGGCACCTGGGCTCTGAGCCCCAGATCCTGACACCTGATTCTGAGGATTAGCACATGGTGTAGACACGATAACACATTCGGGCCCAAACACTCAATACCATACTCAATACCATGCCTGGTACCAGTAGTTAGTAAGTAGCTATTGTTACAAATCTTACTATTTCTTTATTTCACCTAAGAACGTTCTTTACAATACTGAAAGTGTTCAGGAGACAATGGCTTTTCTCTGAGGCAGTGTAAGCCCTGATATTGGAATGGCCCACACCAAAACTGGAAGGTCAGGTAGGGCACCCTGCTTTGGCTGTGAAGTGGCCCAGGGAGCCCAGCATCCCTTTCCATCAAGAGTCTATTTCGTCATTTGAAAGGAGAATCAAGTAGAGGCCGCAGCACAGAGAGGTCATATACTCTGCCAGGGCCACACAAAACCAGAATCCAGGCTCCTCCCCAGACTGCCTCTTGATAGAGTTTTCAGGTCAGGGGCTCAGCATGAAATGAGAGGAGGTTGGAGACCACACAAAAATATACATGGTATACAAAATGATACACTTGCAAGAGCACAGTTAAGCAAAAAGATGCACATAAATATTGAAATGCATGTTTCCTGAGGAAGGAGAATGGGTGGGGTACTGGATAGAAGCAATGGAATGGGCCTGGGACACAGTGATTTTGGTCGGCTGAGAAGTAGGGACAAAACCATTTGCCCTCTGCATCTTGAGGAAACAAAGAAAGGAACAATGAGACGCAGAATCTGTTTTGCTGTGAGTCCTCTGCCTGCAGACTTCTAGCAGACAGACCCTGGTTCTGCCTCCCTCTCTAACTGACCTCCACTTGCCTGCCACATGCCTTGCACAGAACGGCCCCTACAAGTAGCCTGAGGAGAGCACAGGGCCGGGGCTTGGTAGATGGAAAAGCAGAGTCCTTTGCTGCCACCTTCAGCACCCAGGAGGAGGCTGAGCCACACACCAGAGCTGATTCACCTGCCTGGAGTTTGCCCTCTGGTTGGAGGGGTTAGGACAGGTGGAGACTGACTGTCCTCCCCCCAGAGTGAACTGAGAGGGAGGGACCACACACTGGAATGGCTGGCATTAGCCACCAGGAAGGGTACACCGGGAGTTGAGAAAATGAAGAGAGCCTTCCATAGACTCTGAGTCACTGGGTCAGCATGGATTTAGTGAGCACCTACTGTATGCTTGATCCATGTGGTCTGGAGACCTATGAATGTGGTGTCCAAAGCAGTAGCCAATTAGTCCTTTTGCCAAATGCTCAGACACTAGTTCACTTGGGATGAGAGAACAGTCTGAGGAGGTTTCCTGGAGGACTCTCTGAATCAAACAGTCTAGAAGGAGAGGTTTTGAGGAAGAGATGGTTATTCCCAGGGGAAACTCTCACTGTGCCCACAGCGACAGGAAGCAGGGCTTGGCCCTAGTGGAAGTGGAATCAGAGGTTATCCCTTCCCTCACTGCAGTGTCTGGAGACTCTTCCCTCTTCCTGGGATTCCAACCCAGGGGATTTGCACACTTCCCTGGGGCTTCCTGTTTGCTGGGGCCTGGTTCCTGTTAGGCGGGGGGCTATCTCTGACAGCACCCCCACCCGATTCCCACAGTGTGTACCTGCTGCCCCACCTGCAGGACCCGGAAAGGTGAGTAGCAGCCTGCCTGCCTGCAGCCTGCTAGATTCAGCTTGCTTCAGGGGGTCACTAACCAGGTGCTGGCCCCTGACCTTGGGGCTCCCTTTCAGCTGCATGGGCCAGATGGGGAACTCTTAAGGCAAGCACTGTCTTACACTTCCATGGCCAAACCCCTCAGGAAGCTGCAGTCAGGAAGCTGGCTGGGATCAGTCACCTGAAGACTTGACTGAGCCTGGCAGAGCCACTCCAAGATGGCTCCAGGGGCCACTGCCTGCAGCTCTTTACCATTGGGGTCTCTCTCAGGCTGTTGGAGAGTCCCCACACATGGCAAGTGACTTGGCCCAGAGTGAATGGTTCTAGATAGAGAGACAGGAAGCCTTTGTAACTGTTCATGACCTTGCCTTTGAAGTCAACCTAGCGATTACTCTAAGTTGAGTTGTTCTGCTTGATGACCGTGAGTCACCAAACCAAACCTATGTTCCACGAGAGGAGAATTACCCAGCCTCTTAAAACAAATGTCAGAAACACATGTGTGAACCTTTAACCCAATGAATAGTCCTACACAGCCCTGTGCAATGTGTCCTGAGGACTGCCCACGCTCCCTTGAAGGGAGGAAGCCCTGAGTTTTCAGGGAATTCAGCCCTGCTAAGGGAGCTCCGGCTTGCCACTTACTGCCACTTGTGCAGCTTTGTGTGACTCACCTAACTGCTCTGAACCTGTTTCTTCATCATAAAACAGAGACGGGGTCCCTGCTTCCCTCCCTGAACTGTTACGGAAATAATGGCTGTTAAAAGGCTTTTTGAAGGGTGACTACTATTCATTATATTTATTTGTGTATGGGGGCGTATGTGGACATGTGATATGTGTGTCATGGCCTGTGTGCGGAGATCAGAGAACAACGTGGGAGAGTCGGTTCTCCCTTTCCACAGTGTGAGTTCGGAGGATCAAATTCAGACCATCGGGCTGGGCAGCAGGCACTTTTACTTGCTGAGCCGTCTCTCTGGCCCATGACCACTATTTTACAAGCTGGACTAGCCAGACAAACTCAGGATCCTGGGACTCTCACTTGTAGACAGACACTCTTGATGTTACATTTGCTGGTGTGTGTGAGTGACAGCTGGTGGAGCTATGGCTCTCTGGGGCCAGCTACACTGCTCTCTTAGAAGATGTCCCTCTATTTTGCCTGAATTTAACTAGATGTATTAGGGGCTAGGGAAGGGTCCTGGGTTTTGAAAGCCATAAATAAATCCAAGACAAGTGACAGACAGGGACACTGAGCAGGGACACAGTGGGAGGGCAGCATTCAACCAATCTGGGAAGTTGGGGACTCCCATTGCTAGACACTGGTACAGGGATCTGGTAGACTTTCTGGTTCATAGGAAACAGCACTCCAGTGTCCCCAGGTGGCCATGGTCATTTCTGTCCTTCATTCTGCATGTTGAATTGTAAATTCCATGAGCCAGGATAGTACCGCCTAGGACCAGCTCAGCTAATGTCCCATCCCTTCTGCTCCATTCTTCCTCCTGGCTCTAAGATACCTTCACCTATGGGACACCAGCGGTTTGGTTTTATAGTCAAAGTCTGCATGCCAGACAACTAAATCAGTGGATGGTAGGGACTTGTGGATTCTGTAGGCCCCTGTGACAGGTGTCTTAGTGTGGATGGGGGTTTGGGAGCGTGGAACAGCCAGTAGCAAATAGCTGGGAGCACTAGCTGGAATGGATCTGCTTGGAGTTGTGGCCAGGACGCTTTGGCCCCAGCCCTGTCTTTTGCAAGCCTTCTCCTAGGGTCCTGCTGACATCCAGTACTCTAGAACTTTCTCCCTGCCCCCAGAGCTCCTAGCAAGGACCCAGCCCATGATTCCTCCCATTGCATCCCTCTGTGTCCTTAAGGACAACTCTCCTCTCTGTGCCTTATCCTCCCTTCTGTAAGGTCTGTGGTCCCTCCAGCTCTCTGCAAGTAAAGGCACCCTGCTGGGAAGTGCTGGCACATGGTGCTGGGATGTATTTGTCTGACACCTGGGGCTGGAAGCTTCAACACCTTTTGAGAGGATTCCAGAGGGTCTGGGGTGCTTTTCTCCTGATCCCCTGAAATACAGCATGTGGGCTGTGTTCAGTCCAGAGCATGGGAAGGCCCTAGGCATCCTTGGAGACTTAGGGCCTTAGGCTCCCTGGGGAGAAACTGAACAAATCCAGCTCTCAACTCAAGACAGTGGAGAAAGGGAAGGTGAGCATTTGGGAGGCTGATAGTCACCACAGAAGGCAGTGACAGCCATGGCATTAGAGCTCACAGGCCCGGCAAGCAGCAGATGTTAGACATAGCCTATTCTAAACTGTGCCTCCCAGGCGCTAGAACATTCTCTCTCTACCTCAGCTTCATTCTGCCTGTCAGTCAGTTCCCTGCTGTTCCCTGCGTATTTCTGTCTCTTTGTAGATGCTTCTGTTATTACCCCGGTCCACCACTTTTCCTGCCCTCTTTTTCTCCTCTTCCCCTGAGCTGCCTGTCACTAGTCAGAAAGGTGTGTATCAGGGCCCCTTTTAAAATCAAGTATGCGGGGCATAAACCTAAGTATGTGTGAGTTTCGTTCTAAAGCCCCTTCTCTAACAGAATTTTCTTTCCTCTCTCCTTGGTGACTGCTGGGAACCTGGATGTAAGTGCTCAGACAGGCATGTCCTTTCAACACATTTGCTGCCTTGCGTCACTAATGTGTGTCGTGTGGGATGGATGCTAACCTGGGTGTCGTGCTGCACTGTAGGTGGGTGGCTCAAGGCTTAGGGCTGGCAGATCTGTTCAGGTCTTTAAAGGGCTTAGACTTCCCAACCCCTCCTCTCCATCCTTCAGTGCTGAGCCTGACACTAATACACGCACACCCCATGCTGTGGAAGACAACAGGAACCCCTGTCCTTAAGTAGAAACCACAACCTTGACCCAACCATGACAGCATGGTGGGCTCCAGGCCTGGGCTGCTATTGCTGAAGGGCTAGGAGGAGTGTGGCATGACCCCTTATGGGAGAGCCTGTACCCACAAAAGTTCCCAGGGTCCTTGGGTATGGTCCATTGCTAGGGCTGAGCACATATCAGGTCACAAGTCTATGCAAATCTATAGGCACACTCCTGCATTTCCTGCCCAGTCAATTGTCCGGTTCCTCAGACTGGTACCACCCCCTCAGTGTGGCCAAGTTTGGTGTGGCTTATTTCTTATTTACTCTGCTGCTTGCTCCAAAAAGGAAATGAATATGAAGGAAATATATGTGAAATGTTGACTCAAAGTGAGGAAAAAGTGGAAGTTAGAGGATGGAGAAAGGAGATTGGATCAGGAGAAAATTCTAATGCCAGCCACCTGGTCATGGAGCAACAAGACCTGGAGAGGGAAGTACAGCTAGCCAGTGTCCACAGTGCACCAGAGCTCGGAAATGTGTCTTGTCCATGTTTATTTTCTATCCCGAGAGTGAGACAACGTACAAACAAGGGGCCTAGTTGTAGGGCACCTACCTGGTGTGTGCAAAGCCATGGATTTAATTTCCGGCATGCTAAATAAATAAATGAATACCAACAACACACATGACAGATGTACAGGGACCATCCTAACAGTTGGGCTGTTTTTTAGGCGGGGTTCTGTATGGCTTCCATCTGAAGCTATTTCTGTCCCCAGCCACCCACACTGGCCTCCCTTGCTCCCAGCCTCTGCCCAGATCAGGGATGGCTTCTACTCCTGCCTGTATATCTGGATGACCTCCACTCCTAGGAGTCACAGGATCATTTCTTTTCAAAATACAGTCCTTGTTCAAGGTTGCAGTGGAGAGCATGTACAATGCCCTGTTAACAGTTTCAGTACTGAGATGGACATTGGGTTTTTTGTTTGTTTTATTTTGCTTTTGTGCCTGAGACAGGATCCCCACACTGTAACCCAGACTGTCTTGGAACTTACTGTGTGGCCCAGGATAACCCATGGCAATTGTTAGGATTGCCTGAGTGCATGCCCAGCTTACGGGGTGTTTACCATTATTGTGGCTAATGGTGATTTGGATGCCCAGCCTCAGTGCATTCTGGTGGGTGGACTGAGTAATTAGATACCCAAGGGTCCTGCTGTGTCTCTGGGTTATCTTCTGATGCCTGTGATGATTGGACAGGGAAAGCCCTGGAAACAGGGTTTAAGAGGAGCAGCACACACCTGTTCGAGGCCTAACCTCAGCCAGTACCCAGCCCCATCCTCAGGATGAAGGTTTTTGATGGGTGGGGCTGGCCAGCATGCTTCTGCATTTTTACCTTGGCATGGGAGCTTTAGGTCCTGGGTAGCCTGGACCTTATGCTCCCTCCCAGGCAGGAGCAATCTGTGTCCAGAGGAACGTCCTGTTAGTGTGTTCCAATGAGATCTTTGAGGTGGCAACAGGCGTGGCAGTACCGGCTTAATGCCGGTCCTCTGAGGCTCGGGGGATATGAGGGATGAGTACCCACAAACCCACAACCTCAGGAAGTTTTCTGCTGAGCTGAGACAAGGTGGCTGACAAGAGAATCAGGGCACATGGCAGGGGCCGCAGGGTACAGACTATAACATTACTGGGGGTCTGGAGCAAGGAGGCCCTGGAGGGCCAAAGTGTTCAAGAAGTGTCATGGAGTTACTGTCCTCTAGTTCAACTAGCCGATTTAGGTAGTGGAGGGACAAAAAAACAACTTAACTTGGAGTCAACAGACTGAGAGAAACACAAAGTGAAGAAAGGCAAATGTATGATGTCAGGCCCTGACAAACTGCCTGAGCAGCTGGCTCTCCACCCACTGCTCCGCTCTGCAAGGCCTGCTGAAGGCAGCTGTGTTCTCGTGCTGCCCTCTGCTGGCAGCCGTGGAACACAGCAACGCAAACTGGAGAAGCTCCTAGTTGCTGGCTTTAGTTTTAGTTCGTATTGGCTGCTGTTACAGAGCAACCAGCCCTCCGCGGACAGATGGAACCAGTTCTGTGGCTGAATGTGATTTTAGGAGCGGTAGCAGAGTAACCCAGGAAGAGCTCAGGTTTCTGTCTGCAGACGTCAGTGTGGTGGAGCCAGATGAGCTGTGGGCCCTCTAGCTCTACCTTCTGTGATTCTGGGTGATGACAACATACAAAGAATAGAAAGGCATGCCTGTGGATGCCAGATAAACTGGGTATGGGCAGAGAATAATTTACATACTAACTAAGCTAGCACATCCTGGCTCAGTAACTCGGCTGCATTCAATGGGCCAAGTTAGTTCTGGAGCTTTGCCTATAGTTCATTCAAGTTAGACTGAAATAGGAATCTTGCTGTCATGTGGGGGCTGGGTGGCAGATACATTCAGATTTTGCATATAAATGAGGGCCCTCTGCTATCTAGCACTAGGTCCTTTGAAATGAAAAATCTGTACAGCACAGCTCGAAGTTATCCCTTGAGGTCTCTTGGCATTTTACAGAATACCTAGTGCTGCACGCACAAGGGTACCGCCTGCACTGTCAACACGACCCGAGTATGCAGTTTAGAAAGCCAGGCATCACTCCTCAGGAGCACAGCTCTCGTTTAGGAGAAGAGTCTTCCCTGAGCACTCTTCCCATGTCAATTCACGGGTCTAAGCATCAGGGCTTGGCAAGTCTCGGAGCGTCTCCTGCCATCCTCCTGGGAGCTGTTCAGTGGTTTCTGAGCCTATTATATGCATGCGGCCTCGTCTTCCAATTACACCTTCACCCACTTTCCAGCCCTCCTAAAGACAGTGGAGCTTCTCCAGACCCGGGCCCCGGACTATTCTAACAGGTTTGTCGTGCTGTGTACCTAACCTTGCCCTCCCTTGTTCCTTCCCACACTGACCCCGCCCCTGCGCTGTACTTTGTCTCCTGTTAGATGGACATTAAGTGGTTGAGGGAGATGTGAATGAGGGTGGTGTGAAGTCATGGGAGCCCCACCAGGTCCAAAGCCCACTGGCGTTTTCTGACGAGGAGGAGGAGGACCTGTTGGAGTTCATGTACAAGTATAAGGCACCGAGGAGGACGGAGTTGCCCCTGGAGGTACATGGTGTCTGGAGGTGTGGGCTGGATCACATGTTTGCACTGGAGATCTGGGGGGCCTGAGAATGGTATCACTTGTGATACTCAACCTTCTCTGAGTGCTTAGGGGAAAAAATGACTTCCCTATCAAATAGGTAGGACAAGGCACCAGGTAGCCTCTAGCTACCCGCCAAGGGGCATGTGGCAGGGGGAGGGTGGAGGGTGGAATCAGTTCTAGAGATGGAAATCAGTTAAGTGCCTCACCAGATGAGCCATTTCTTCAGCACCACAGTTCTTTAAAGTTACCAGAAAACAATATACTTGGCATTATGGCCAGTTGGGATGTAGATGGGTTTGACAGCAGCAGGACCATGCCTGGCACGCACTGGCTATGTTCTGTGACACAGGTGGAGAGTCACTAGGCATGGGCTCAGGTCAAAGCCACTTGGTTCCTCTCTGGTTCCCTATGTACTGAGCTCTCTGGCCTGAAGGTCCATTGTGAGAACATCATGATTCCTGTCACAATCCTGTGAGAACCAGATGATATGCTCAGAAACATTCCCCTTGACAAGCATGGAGGCCTAGCTTTCTCCTTCACTCTGAGATGAAAGCTACAGTTACCTCAGATGTAGGAGTTGCTTCATTCCTGCCCAAGATGGATCATTTCATCTCTCTCATATATTATCATATATGGGGCCTCCCATATATACTAGGCAAGCATTCTCCCACTGAACTATGTCCCCAGCCAGCCAGTATGGATAAGTTCTGGGTACTGGACTAGTTCTATTTGTCTCAGAGCCTGGGAAACCTCGAGATGGGGAGAGTTCACTCTGAATATCCCAGGGCCCAGGGATTATGCTTTTGTTTGTTTTCAAGACAGGATTTCTCTAAGTAGCCCCTAGCTGTAGACCAGACTTTTCTCGAACTCACAGAGATCCGCCTGCCTCTGCCTCCCTAGGATTAAAGGTGTGCACCACCACCACCTGGCCTTTTTAAAACAAAAACAAAAACAAAAACAAAAACAGGGTCCCATTGTGCAGCCCAAGCTGGCCTCAAACTCCCTCTGTTTGATCCTCCTGATCCTCCAGCCTCTGTCTTCGGAGTACCTTTGGAGTACCTTGCTCACAGGTGTGCACCACCACACCTAGTTGTGGTTCTGTTTAAAGCTTTGCACATGACTCCCTGCTTACTGTAATGTCCAAGAAATCGGTGCCTAAAAAGGGACGTTTTTCTTGCCACCGTCTCAGCCTAAGTCCAGAAGTGAGCAGTGAACGTCTCTTACCAGTGAAGCCACGGCCTGCGGGGCACTGAACCTATTCCCGCTTGGGTGCTTACCTTGCACTGGGCTAGTCAGTCACCAAGAGATGGTGATGAGAGGGACAAAGGCTTCACTTCAGGCTGGTGGGCAGTGAGGGGCAATATCAAATTCCCTGGGCCTAGTTACAAAGCCCTCTGCTGTGGGGCTTATACAAAACATATCTCGTGGGTAGAGTGATTGTTTAGCAATGTATGAGCCCTGGGTTCAATGCTCCAGTGTGGGAGGAGAACAGAGAAACATGTAGCCAGGTGTGGAGCCCATCTGTCATCTCAACTCACTGGGTAGGCTGGAGCAGGAGGATCACAAGCTTGATGCCAGTCTGGACTACAAAATGATCTCATGGCCACCTTGAGTTACTTAGAAAGACTTAATCTCAAATGAGTGAACACTAACCAGGCCACTCTGAGAGACAAAGGTGGCTGTGTGTGGCCAGGCAGGTCAGAGTCAAGGAGTCTCCTAGACAAGTGACTTTTGAGCCTGTGCTCACAGGGGGGACAAGTACAAGACAGAGAAAGGGGGAATAGGGCTTCCAGTCATAAGGGACCTCAGGATGAAAATACAGTGCAGAGGAAGTTTCTGTCCTCATAGAGAAACTTGGGCTGTGGACAGTGGATTGAGGCCAGCTCTATGAACCCTATCAGGTGGTGTGCTAGACGAGTCATCTGTCTTCTTTATTTCAGTCACAATGTCTCCTGTGTTTTGTGCCTCCCCTTAGAGAAATAGTCCCTGTAGTCATCGTTGGAGAGATGGATGAGATTGGTGTTGGTCTTGGTGTTGTGGCTTGCTGGATAGTAAAAAGTTTCATGTCCAGAATGAAGCCTGGAAGTGTGGGACATACACCAGAAAAGTTCCCAGAGGAAATACAGAAATAAGCAAAGGGCCAGGCATTGGTGGCGCACGCCTTTAATCCCAGCACTCGGGAGGCAGAGGCAGGCAGATCTCTGTGAGTTCGAGGCCAGTCTGGTCTACAAGAGCTAGTTCCAGGACAGCCTCCAAAGCCACAGAGAAACCCTGTCTCGAAAAACAAAAAATGAAAGAAATAAGCAAAGGGCTGGAGCTGTCTCTGGTTCAACTCATTTGAAACAAGGAAGGCATGCCATTCTGCACAGCATCTCCCTTTGGACTCAGGAACCCGTGATGGCCTTCTCATGGGGCTTGTTCTCACCTCACAAGGTGCAAGGGTGGGACTCCAGTAACTGATTGCTGTTGTGGGGACCCCAGCTCTACCCACTAGGGGTTGCTGATCAAAGGAGGCTCCCCCAGATGCTGTCCCCCAAGATCCCACCCCTGAAGCCACATGGAGGATGCCCTTTCTCTGCTCTCTCTACCAGGCACCGCCTAGAACCCTTCGATACCGCTTCAGGAGGAAAAGTACCTCATCCTCGGCCACGGAAACCACGTGAGTGAGATGAGCCAACAGCACCGGATCCACAGACGTCTCTCCTCTGCCTTAAAGAGCTAGTCACTAGTAACAAGGAAGTGCGCAGGCTGGGTGTGCTTCGAGTGTGCAGCCTCACAGACATGGCCTTTATTCGCTCCCCTCTTCTGCCTTTGAGAATTTTCTGTTCTTTCCTTCTTGTTCCTGGGGGAGAGGCTAAAGGGAAAAGGTGGTGGTGGAGGTGACCTTTTTCCGTCTTCTGGGGTTAGTAATTTTCCGCAATTGGATTGTCATTGTGGCCACAATGTTTTTAGATATATATAAGCACTCTTACTCTGCTGCTGAGATGGACGTTTGTAATTTATTTGTTGCATAGTTTTTAGTCCTGTAAATGCAAACGAAGTGATCTTTTTAAAAACCCTTTTTGTTGTTCTTGGTACTAATACATTGGACTATTATGTATATATTTAAGGCTTTTAGCTTAATGTAATGAACTTGCAAGGGCTGCCAGAGGTTCTGGTAAGTGAGAGAGCTGCAAAAAAAAGAAAAAAGAAAGAAAGAAACGTAGACAAATATTTTGATTCTAGACCATGTTTCCAACCTGCTTACCAAGCCAGTGCCAGTAGGGCATGCCTTCTCCTGCCCAAAGATGGCCCATGTTCTTCAAGTGGCTGTGCAGCCCACACAGCAGAGCTGAGCCAGGAGCGCAGGGTCTCAGCCACAGGAAGGAAGGAAGGTTGCTGAGTCAGGGAAGAGGACTCAAGATCAGAAGCTTCTGAGCCCTTCTGGGGACACTGAACCTGCCTCACCCTTAGCAGAACCGTTTGCGGGACATGGAGACTCAACTGATGGAAGAATTCCAAGTATCTCAGAAACACTTGGCAAGAGTATTTCTCCTTCAGGGACCAGTGCTGTGGCTGATTTCTCCAGGAGGAAGAGCCTGCATCTGAGCACCTTGTTTTAGAGAACACTAAGCAAAGAGAAAAGGCTAGAAGTAGGCTTTGTTTCAGATGTGCTCATATAACACCAAAAGGCAGAATCTGGGGTGGACTGAGGCTGAGATCCACGGGCAGCTGTGGCTCTTGCTCCCCTCTGGCTTGTGTGGAAGATGAATGAAATGGACTGACACTCATGTTCACTCCATGTCTTCGTGGATCGCATTGACAATTTTGACAAGTGTTTGACTTAGATGACATGGTGTAGTCTAGGGAGCTGCCCATCCTTCTGAGAGCTGAGCCAAATTGTAGGGCTAGTCTATTTGTGCTTAGAGTTGGTGTTTTCTTTCCATGTAATGCATGCAGTGGTCACAACCTAGTTACTCATATTTGGATTGTGTTTGTTCATAGCTATGCATTGAAGACTAGAGAAGTAGTGTTGTATACCATATAGAACTGTCAATAACTGCAGACAGGTTCGATTACAAAGCCCTCTGTTACTGAGCTACGCAAACATGCACTGGGAGATTGTCAGACTATATTAGCTGGACCTTGGCCACTTCACAAAGGGTTTTAGTTGAAGTTCATTGCTGCCAGATACACCTAGTGAAATTCTCCAAAAGTAGTTTTATATTTTAGAACTAACCCTAGGGAACTAACTCAAAAGCTGGTGACTGGGAGGCAAATAGTCTGCCTGTGGCCCACACCCATCTGAATCTGTTAAGAAAAACATCTGTCCTGTCAGGCTCACCAAACAGTTCCAGACAAGCGAAATGATAGCCTGTAAAATGTATGAACCTGTCAGTTGGGTGTATCTGGGATGCAGAGAAACAGGTGCAGAAAAGCCTGAGAGAAGCAGCTTTGCAGCTCCCCACCCCAACTCACCCCCAAGTAATAAACAGCTTTAGGAGCAGAGTTTAAGTCCTATTATATTTTCACATTTTACAACGGGAAGTCATGTTAGGCTCTCGAGTTTGCACTCAGCTATGCCAAAACCGTTTGCAGCACTCCTCCCAGACATACTGTATTACTTCTTGTTCCAGACTTTAAAATATACAGGTATCTAAACTGTTGTCTCACTGTAAATGTACTACTTTTCCTTCAAGTGTTTACTAGGGGGTTGTCTCCTCTTTTAAAGACACTTACTATAGAGCTGAGCACAGCTGTCTTGTTTCTCGAAAACTGTGTTTACTTTTTGGACAAGCTGTGCATTTGTACGTGGACTGACATGATGTGAATGCCCCCGTCCATGTAGTGTGTGGTGCTCTGTCTAGAGAAGAGAAATGAATGTTTCTACTTTGCTGGCTTACACACAGGCTGTTTACAAGTGCTAGCTCGAAAGTCTGCACTTGTCTCAGCTTTGCGTTCCTGGCCTTGGAGCACATGCTCCATTGCTGAAGCTGTGAGATGAGGTCTCATGCTTACCAACCGGAGATTTAGTCATAATCTCTCCTGACTCTGTGAATAGCTTGCTCACTCTGCTGGCCTTTGATATGTATGTTCTCCGTAGTAAACTGTCCATGTGTTTGTGTTAAGAGTGCTTGTCACCACAACCATCGTGTAGCCTTCCCAGTTCTTGCACAGTATTTGAAGTGTTGGAAGTGGTGAAAGATGTGCTTCTCCTTCAGACAGTGACACTCAGAAGTTGATGTTCTGGATTGTGACTGTACACACTTCCTCTAGTTTATTTCCGAAGCCTCTAGAATGAGCTATAATTAAATAGTATACTGGACCGTGTCTCTAAGGGATGTAAATTGCAGTATTCCAAAAGCTGAAGCTCTGCTGATTTGTTATAATGCCTGATAAACATCTTGAATAAAGTCTTAACATTTTTCTTTTAAAAAATTGTGATGTTGGGCTTATGAGAAAGGAGGAAATACCTTTATTATTTTGGTTTTTTTTTTAAACCATTACTGACCTAGACCAGCAGGTCATTCCTCAGTGATCCTAAGGGGGAGTACCAGGAGATGAGAAGATAAAGAAAATAAAAGCTGGGGTTGGGAGTCATGTACAAGCTATGTCTTATCCCAGACAAGTTTATTAAGAAGTACATCATCTTAAACATAGTTTTTGGGGAGGTGGGATGGGGGCGGAGTCAGCAGGAAGCTGATCAAGCAGTGCTGCACAAAGGGGACACAGGGTATCTCAAGTGCATCACAGACCCAGCACACATCAACATTGGGACCGATAACTCCAGTCTCCTCAAGGGAAAAGGCCAACTTCCTAGAAAACAAAACCTTAACTCCTTTAAGGGCTTGACCCTAGCTCCAGACCAGACTGCCAAGTCTACTCCCGGGCAAGGACACAGAACTAGGTTCTTTCATCGTAGCCTCTGAGAAAGCCTTGGATTGGCTGGCTCTCAGCAAATTATGTGCATGTGTGTGCCTGTATGCAAGGGTGCAGGTACCTGAGGAGGCCAGAGGAGTGCACCAGATCCCTTGGAGCTGGGATTACAGTAGTTGTGAACCACCAGATGTAGGTTCTGGGAATCAAACCTGGGTCCTCTTAGCACTCTTAACCACTGTACCACCTCAGCAAACCCAAAATACTTTTTGAAAATGTGGGTAGGGCTGATAAGAAGTAAAAGTACTTGCCAACAAGCCTAATGACTTTAGTTTAAACCCTGGGACACACCAGGCAGTGGTGGTGCACGCCTTTAATTCAAGCACTCAGGAAGCAGAGGCTGGCAGATCTCTGAGTTAGAGGCTAGCCAGGTCTACAGATCGAGTTCCAGGACAGCCAGGGCTACACAGAGAAACCCTGTCTTGATAAAAAACCCAAAACAAAACAAAAACAACAAACCCTGGGACCCCAGGGTAAAAAGAAAAGAAGATCCTCTTGCAAGTTGTCTTCTGACCTCCACTGGTCTGCTGTGGTGCACATCTCCCTCTCCTCAAATTAAACAAGTAAACTGTAATAGAATTGTTTTCAATGCAGGAGGGTCTAGGGATGCAGTTCAGTTGGCAGAGTGTCCAACTAATATGCACAAAGTTCTGGGTCTTAGCCCTAGTACCATATAAACCAGATATAGTGGGACATACCTGCAATCCCAGCACTCAAGAGGCAGAGCAGGAAGATCAGAAGTTCAAGGGAATTCTCAGCGACATAGAGATTGAGACAGGCCTGAAACATGAGACCCTGTCTCAGAAATAGAAAAGTAAAAATTATAAATAAATTAGTTTAAAAAGTTTAAATGTGGGGCAGAGTTTAAGAGCACTGACTGTTCTTCCAGAGGTCCTGAGTTCAATTCCCAGCAACCACATGGTGGCTCACAAACAGCCTTATGAGATCTGGTGCCCTCTCTGGTGTGCAGATATACATGGAAGCAGAATGTTGCATACATAATAAATAAATAAAATCTTAAAAAAAAAAAGAAAAAGAAAAATTAAAAAAAAAAGTTTAAATGTGAGCCGGGCAGTGGTGACGCATGCCTTTAATCTCAGCACTCGGGAGGCAGAGGCAGGCAGATCTCTGTGAGTTCGAGACCAGCCTGGTCTACAAGTGCTAGTTCCAGGACAGCCTGCAAAGCCACAGAGAAACCCTGTCTCGAAAACAAAACAAAACAAAAGTTTAAATGTAGAAGGTAACAAGGGTTAGAAACTGAGTGTTTAACTACTTCCTAGTCTGGAAACTTGCTCACCATAATGGATGACTGGAAGGAAAAATTTCACAAACCCAGCTGATCATACAACTATTAACCTTAAGGCGTCCTACTGCTTTAAAGATGAGTGGAGACTGGGTACCAGTGAAAACATGATAAGTTCACTTGTAGGCAGTCTGACTTTTGTGTGCTGTTTCCTTCTTGAGTGTTTCTTCACCTGCAGACAGGGAGTAGCTCTGCAGGTTAGAAAAGGCTTGTGCGTGTGTGGATGGTAAAGAGGCCTTAACACTCTGCATCCCTTGCCTTTAAACCATGAGCATCAGGCACGGGGGCCTTAGCTGTCACAGAGTGCTCGTACAGGTGTATCCAGCACCACAGAAACAGGATTCAAAAGCACATGCCTCCCATCCATCCCAGAACTCAGAGAGGTAGGGCCAGGAGGGTCAGAAGTTCAACGTCATCCTCAGTTACACATGAACTTAAGGCCAGCTCCATCTAAGTGAGACTATCTCAAAAACCAACCAACAATAAGACAGCAGTCTCCCTGCAGCTTCACTGGGAGGTCAGAGAGGACCTTCCACCATCAGAGTTAATCACAGTTGTTTTCATGGCTTTTATACTACACACTGGAAAATAGACGGTAGAGTCAGGGGGCAGAAAACAGGAAGAGATGGGAAGAAAGGCTAGTAATCCATTCATTTACTTGTTTACTGAGCCAGGGCCATGCACCTGCAGAGTTGACAAGTAGAAAGCAAAGTCGCACAACTTCAGAATTGAACTGGTAGAGATATGAAGTACTTACTAATAGTGTCAGATCACTGTCATTTGTTGATTAAGATCCGAGTTGTCCTATCTTGTTAGAAAATCAAAGGAAGCACACAAGATCCCAAATAGTTAAACAGGGATTCTAGGATGCATAAGCTGTATTTTAGAGTAATTTAAGCCTCTGTAAGCTTTAGCTGCCTCCAATTTATATTAGGGATAAATGCTGGCTCCTTTATAAGGCTAGCATGAGGCCCAGCAGATTTTCGAAGACATACTCAAATATACCAAATGTTTAATACATTGCATGTAAATAAACAAGTATACATATACTTGATCATCATTTAGGCAGGCCATTTTTACTGTCAAACTAAAAACTCAGCTCTGATGAAAAGCTCCCCTACCCATAAACAAAAGCTGTATGGATGAAAACCCCTTCCCATACACAGTGTGCCCACAGCCCTTCTACCTCAGCCTGTGGTTGCGGGTCCTTCCCTGACTAGCCTGTCCTTGGCCACAGGGGAAGCCAAGGTGCTGAGGCCATGTAACAAAGACCTGACTCCAGAGAAGTTCTGAGGCTGTGCAGTGTCTTCCTTCTATATTCTGCAGCACCAGCTCTTCCCAGTACCACAAATGTACTGGAAGCAGGAGCTGTGCAGGTGAGGAAATGCAAAAGCCCCACAGTACTCAGCTTCTGCCACCTCTGGAGTGTGAACACCCACAGGAAGAACCGCCAGAACAGAAGCCATTTGGTGTATGAGGTGCTCACGCTGCACATCTGGTCCCACAAATACAAGCATCCTCGGCCTTCTGGCTTCACGTCATTCTCCACCTCTCTCCATTTAATGAACAAAAGCCCTGGCTTCAATGAATGGCCCTCAAGTTCCTAGCCTGACATGCCACAGAACTTCAGTTGATTATCTTATCCGACCAAATGGAGGAATTTCATGTTATCATCCAAGGTTTCAAACAGTAATTCATTCATAATTCTATTTAATGAGAGTTTTCAACTTGGCAGGCTGCTTTGTTTGAAAATGTCTCCAGATAATTCTAACAGGAGAGCTAAGAGTTGCTGTCTTGAACTGTAGCCATCACTTGCCACTCTGTAAGTAAACAGTATGTAACTCTTGCATCATTTGTCCCATCCAAGTACTAACAGGCCAGACCCTGCTTAGCTTCTGAGAGCAGACAAAATCATGTGCATTCAGGATGGTACAGCCATAGTCTCTTGCCATTTCTAAAACGAGTGATACTGTTGCCCTCTAGCACAGCAGAGAGCCCAGTCTCATCAAATGACAGATACTACTTAGTTACCACAATGTGTTTTTGGAGAATTCTGGAAAAAGCCTATTCTAACAAATGAAAATAAGAAATCTCAAGTAGGGGGGCTGGAGAGATAGTTCAGAGGTTAAGAGCACTGACTGTTCTTCCAGAGGTTCTGAGTTTAACTCCCAGCAACCACATGGTGGCTCATAACCATCTGTAATGTGATCTGGTACCCTCTTCTGGCACGCACTGTATACATGATAAATAAATAAATAATCTTAAAAAAAAAAGAAATCTCAAGTAGATAATCTTTTAAAAAATACAGTGCATTTGAAAATTTGGGCAGAAAGCTGGAGAGACAGTTTAGCAGTTAAGAGCCCCTGGTTGTTCTTGCAGAGGACCCAGGTTCAATTCCCAGCACCCACATAGTGGCTCACAACCATGTGTAATTCCAATGCCAGTGGACCCAACAATCTTCTTCTGGCTCCAAGGGCACCAGGCACCAACCTGGTGCACATACATACATGCAAAACACTCATATACATAAAAAATAAAAATTGAAGTCAGAAAGAAAAATTGGGCAGGAAGAGTTTTTTGTATAGCTGTGTGTTTCAAGAAGGATATATGGAAAGGTGATTTACTTTTATGAAAACTATCCTGTTACATTGGGCGGTGGTGGCACACACCTTTAATTCCAGAACTTGGGAGGCAGAGGCAGACGGATCTCTGTGAGTTTGAGGCAAGCCTGGTCTACAGAGTGTAGACCTCCACAGGCTCCAAAGCTATTGTTGAAATAAAATGAATGATAACTGTCATAAACACAAAGAACCCAGGACACAAGATGAAACCACAATGCCACCCTATGTCACCTCTACACAAAACTGCTCACAACTGCTGTTTTACTCCACATGAACCTGCTAATACAACCAAGAGGGCCTGGGTAGGGTCTTGACCCCAAAACAGGCAAGCTCTACATTGCATGGTGGGTTAAGGTTTATGATGAAAAGGCAAGCTGTCCCATTTAAGAGTCCCTTGGCAATTAGAGACAGGAGAAGACAAGAGCGGAGGGCTGTAATGTTAAAAGGAACCTCAAAGGTTCAAACTGAGTAGTCTGAGGGAATATAAACTTTATATAAGCAAAAGAGAAGATGAAAAGTGATGAATAGAGTCACACACGTTGCAGAGCTGAGGCATAAAGCCCCATCATCGTCTGCCCCATCCAATTCCTGCCCTTCCCAAAGCTGGGGTGGGGAAGTCTCAGGTAGGAGATCAAACTGTGCGGTAGTTCCTGAGTTCCAAGGTACTCATTGTTGAAATGTATCATGCATCATATTGAGGATTGGCACATAGGATGTCTGCCTGGTATGTGCAAGGTCCTGGATGCAATCTCAACCCCACAAAAAGACCCACTGTGTTTTTCCTCACTCAAGATTCTTTGCAACTAACGGGAACGAAGAAAGCCATTACGATTTTTGGAAATAATGCACAAAATAACTTTTAATTCCATGACCAACTCTGGGAATATTTAATACATGGACTTTTAAGCACAATGGTGATATTCTGTTTGTCAATCAGTTGGTACAGTTTACCACATACTCACTTCTGCAAGGATATCATGTACACAAAGATCCACATTCCATAGTTGGGAGCCTATGAAAGCTCTGAACTATACTCTCAGGTTCGTTCGATCATGGTACATCAGGTAAGGATCATCAGCATACCAGTTGCGCCTCTTCCAGAAAGACGTGGTCATTTTATCCAGGAGTTTACTCTGGGTCTTGTTGCAGAACACAAATTCCCTTAAGCGCTTTTTTCTTGCCGTTGACTTTTTCCATAATTTTTTCTTATAGCCAGCCTATGAGATAATGTTACAAAGACATTTTAAAAATCACAAAGGCAGCAGGGTATGGTAGCACATGCCTTTGATCCCACAAATGGCTTTGGATGTCGTATGCGTAGAATCCTAATTTATGGTCCTACTCATTACCACTAGCATTCTTTAAGATGACTCTGCAATAAGAACACACTAGAAACCTTAGTTTCTAGGTCAGAAATGGAAGCAAGGGACAGCAAGGGACACCTGGATGAAACCATACCACAAAAAATACTTCTAGGTTGAGTTAACTCACCCTGTTTTTCTTTTCTTTTCCTTTTTTTTTTTTTTTTTTGTTTGTTTGTTTTGTTTTTTCAAGACAAGGTTTCTCTCTGTGTAGCCTTGGCTGTTCTGGAACTCACTCTGTAGACCAGGCTGGCTTCAAACTTGGAAATCTGCCTGCCTCTACCTCCTCAGTGCTGGGATTAAAGGCATGTGCCACCACAGCCTGATGACTTTTATTTTTCTATAAGTTAAATTTTGATAAAGCTGGCAAAATGGCTTAGGCAATAAAGGTGTTTGTCTCAGAAGCCTGATGACCTGAGTAGATTCTTGGAACCCAGGTATAAGGGTAGAGGAAAAGAAACCCCCAAACCCATAAAGGTGGAAGGAGAGACCTACTCCATACAGTTGCTCTGTGACCTCCAAACACATGCTTTGGCAAAGTAAATATATAAAATGAGATTCTGGGCTGCAGAGATGGCTCAGAGGTTAAGAGCACTGGCTGCTCTTCCAGAGGTCCTGAGTTCAATTCCCAGCAACCACATGGGGGCTTCACAACCATCTATAATGAGATCTGGTGCCCTCTTCTGGTGTGCAGGCTGAACAATGTATACATAATAAATAAATCTTTAAAAAAAAATGAGATTCTGATGAAGCATAACTTTCTGTACAAGACACAAGCTGGGGTAAGTACTGCTGAAGAGTTTATCAGGACTTTACAGTAACCAAGAGTTCAGAGCCCCAAAACAGGGACAAACAGGGGCTGGAGAGGTGGCCATGGGCTAAGAGCATTTGTTATTCTTGCAGAGAATCCACAAGACAGCTCACAATCATCTTTAACTCTTGTTCCAGAAGAACAAGTGCCCTCTTCCAGCTTCTGCACGCACCAGGCATGCACAAGACAGCTCACAATCATCTTTAACTCTTGTTCCAGGACAACAAGTGCCCTCTTCCAGCTTCTGCATGCACCAGGCATGCACATGAACATACATACATGCAGGCAAACACATACACATAAAATAAATAAACCTAAAAACAAATAAGCAAAAGAGTGACTAGAAATGAAGGAAAGAAAATCACTCATGTCACACTAAACGACCTGGCATAATAAAAGGGAAAACTATTTCCAATAGTTCAAAAAGAACCATCAGAACTGCCGTGTAGCTTCTTCTGGACACCTGAGCCCCTGCTAACTAGGAATAACACGCTTGTCTCAATGGAGAAATGAGCTGAGTTCTAATCCACACATTTATCTACAAACTTAGGGCTGTCTCTAAGATAACGGACAATCTCTCCGCCCTTCCAGTAGTGACTGCACCTGCTCTATGAAGATGCCATTCTCAATAATGCTTTACTTTATTCACATCCATGTCCTTTCTCTGCACACGGATGGACAGAGTGCCGGCAAAGCGGGCACCTTAGTGCGACCGGAAAGAGCTACTAATGAGATGAGAGAACACACTATGGTTAGGCTCACTGAACTCAGCTGCATCTTGATTTCCTGTCTTCCAACCAGGTAACAAACAGTGTAAAGACTCACTTTTCTCCTTAGCCAAAGGCCAGAATGAAGTCGAAGGAACCGATGGACGACCGATTTTACTGTCTTCCTCTTGCCTTTCCGTGTGCTGCAGTACGTTAGAGTTCTGACAGGCGGCTTCAGGACACTGGGAACCAATGCAGCCACTCTAAATACAGTTTTTAAAATGTAGCAATCAGACTGATTGAAGGACAAGACCCATTACACTGCTCCACTGGAGGGAACTGACCTTTAGCACACTTTACTTCAAGTGACACTAAGCACAAAGAATGGCAACCTTCTCAATTTCAAGCCTTCTAAAATCTGCCCCTTCAGGGAGAGGTAGAGCCTGTATTTAGCACATACAAGACTCTGGGTCCAATTCCCTAACACCAAAAATAAAACCCACCTATTCAACCACTCAGAGAGAATTTATCCCACTATATTCTAATCACATGGTTTCTAATCTATCTGACTATCTGAGTATAAACTCCTTGAGGACTTCAGATTGTTTTATTTATGCACGTTCTGCAAGTACAGTGCTGGGTACCTATGAGTGCTTAACTGAGTATCTGCCGACTGACTGACTGACTACCACACAGAAAGCTGACATCTCATTTGATCTCTGGTTTGCCCAACATCTTCCATCTGGGAACCACATGAACAGCATCAGAAATGAGCCCAGGAGTGGAGGTAGATATCACTAGCCTAGCACATACAAGGCCCTAGGTTCCTTCCCCAGAGCCACAAATATTGAAAAGCCAGGCATGGCGTGCATTCCTATAATCCTAGCACTCCAGAGACTGAGTCAGGAGGGTGACTAGAAGTTCAAGACTACACGGCAAGATGGGAAGGAAGTGCTCTGTGCTGTAGTTCCTGTTCTGGCATCTAGGATACCAATCCTATTTTCCAACTCAGTCAGGTGGTGTGTATCATAAACCAGGCAGACCAAGATTATCTACTTCTAAAATGCCTTGACCACATTTTATGGATTTTGCAGTACTAGGTATAGAAGAAAGAGCTTCACCAATGGGGTGCAATGACTGTACCACTGAGCTACATGCCCAGCCTAGGCACAAATACTTTAGAAAATTTTGTGTAAATATTGTTTAAATATGTAATTGGAATGTACTCTACCTATTAAGGACTGTTGCAGTATGCCCATGTGTCAGGTTTCTGACAGATGTGACAAGTCTTGGAGCAAAGGAAACAACTGGTGTCTGAATGTGTCTAAAATGAATGGTGCACAGTGCAGAAGTAAGACAGGCATTCTTTGCATAGTTCCGATAGGTTGAAGATGCCAAAACATTCAGGGGCCGTAATATTCCTGCAAAGAAGAGAGAAGACCATGTACTGAATATGCTCTAACACAGACACCCATATATTATCCTGCCTGGAAACTAAGTCAGACCTACCAGAAGGTTCCTGAACCCAGAGACACAGAGGGAGCTTTTTACTAACTTCATCGATATGTAACTTACATGGATAAAATCACCCATTTTTATATACACAATGGTTTTTACAAAACATAGAATTCTACAACCATCACATACTCCAGGTTGACATGTCTTAGCTCTATGCCCAGCAATGAGGAACAAGATATGTGTAAGATTAATCTCCTCCCCCCCACACCAATTTTATACCACAAGGAGACAGCCCCTCCAGATTCAGTGTGGCAGTGGGTCAGAGACATAACAGCTGGACAGACAGACTGGAGAGAAGACTCAAAGGAAAGCAGTTCCCCTGACAGTAACAGACCTGCTGGCAGTGCTCTCACCTGTAATCTCAACACTGAAAGTGGGAGGAGGATCAGGAATTCAAGGCTGTCCTTTGCTATAGAGCAAGTTTGAGGTCAGCCTAAGCTGCATGAGACCCTTCCTCAAAAATACAAGACGCAAAACAAAGGCAAACAAACAAAAAAAATCAATAGGGGCTAGAAAGATGACTCAGTGGTTAAAAGTGCATACTGCTCTTGCCAAGGACCTGAGTTTGGTTCCCAGGCCCACACAAGTGGTCCACAACTCCAGGAGAGCTGCTGCCTCTGGCCTCCCTCCAACATCTGCACGCATGTGTCCACAAGCATGTGCACATACTCTCACACACATGCACACAATACACATAATTAAAATAATAAAAACAATTGTTTTAAAGGGCTAGGTGATGGCTTAGTGAGTGAACTGCTTGCTATGCAAGCATGAAAACTTGAGGTAGGAGCCCCAGCAGCCAAGCAAAAGCTGAACATAGTACCATCGCAGTACTGGGGTAAGAAAGAGGTAGAGACAGGCGCTTACTAGAAAGATCCAGGTTTAGTGAGACATCACAAAAAATAAGCCAAAGAGCCACAGAAGGCTCTCAATGTTAAGGCCAAGCCTCCACAAGCACATGTATTGGCATGCACACCTGCCCACCCACATGTGTGTGCACACACAAAAGGAAAGGAAAGGAAAGCAAGAAAATAAACACTTCCAAGGAGAACCCACTTAGGGAAGGACAAACAACATTAGCAAAAAGCCTTGGTGCTGAAACAAATACAGCTATGGATGGGAACAGCAGGATCAGGCCTAGCAGAGGCTGTGCACTGCTTCCCAACCACAGCAGAAATGCCCAGGAACAGGCTGTGGGGATGAGGCTGAGCAGCAGAGTTGAGAAGGCAAAGATTCGTGAATTGGAGATTATCCTCTTTGCCAACCTGCTCTCCTAAGGCCATTCTGCAAATCAGAGAGGATCATAGGGCTTACTTGTTTAGTACTTTCTAGTCAACTTTAATGTGAGACTCAAGAACATACATGCTAAAAATGTTTCATGAGATGATGGAAATGTCTTAAGGTCGGAATTTGGTGATTATTTTGTCTTTAAACTAGATGCATAAAAATAAGTATTTTAGAGCTAGGGAAATGACCTGGATGTTAAAGTGATTCCTACACAAACATAAGGGCCTGAGTTTGATGCCCAGAATTCATGTAAAATTGTAATTCCAAACCTGGGGAGGTAGAGCCAGGTGGATCCCAGGGTTTGTTGGCTAGCCAGTCTCATCAGTGAGTGCCACATCCCAGAGAGACCAAGTCTCAAAAAACAAGATGGACTGCTCCTGAGTGTGACACCCAAGTCTATCTCCAGACATGTACCTGCAAGCACACACATGTGTACACACCCTCACATAAAAACATAGCCACAAATAAAAGTATAGTAAATTCTACTCCAATAAAGTTAGTTTAAAAAGAGGAAAGTCAAGCCTGGAATGGAGGCACAGGCAGGTAAGTCCAATACTTGGGAGGCGGAAGCAGGAGATCCAGAGTTCAAGGCCAGATTCTATCTCAAAACACAAATGCCAGCAACAGTTTGATCTGGGTGCAGAGGCCCATGCCTTCAATTCGAGCACTCCAGAGACAGAGGCAGATCACCACAAATACCAGCCAATCCTATAGATAGCATGCTCCAGGTTAACCTGGGCCACATCGTAAAACCTTTTCTCCAAACCAAAAACAAACAGACAAACAAAAACCCAAACAAACAAACCCAAAAAACAAACTCTACCTAATCTGATAGCCAAGTTGAACAGTGGTCCACTGTAGTGTATAAATGACAGCGTTTGAGCCAGCATTGTGAACAGGAGCAAATTACTTGACCTTATATTCATTTCCCTCAAGTTTGAATTAGTTAATTATGGAGGTTACATGAGATACAACACAAAGTGATTTACTAGGGCTTGACCCAGAAAAAAACACTTAAAACAGTGCTGTGCTGAAGAAAGCCAGATATGAGGCCCAAACATCTGGACTCTCAGCACTGAGAAGCTAAGAAGGACTGAGAGTTTAAGACCAGACTGGGAAAAAAGAAATTTCTTCTATCATTCTTTTAAATGTTTTCAGTGGAATTTAAATGTCATAGCGAGGGCCAATGAGATGGCTCAGTTAAGAGCCCAACAATCTCAGTTCACTCCTGAGAACCCATGATGGAAGAGAACCAACTTCCAAAAGTTATTTGATGATCTCCATAAGGCTACTGTGGCGTGCATTGTCCCCACACACAAACAAAACTAATTATATGATCTATATATGATCTATATCATCTATTTTTAAAATGTAAGGGATCAAGGACTAATAACAAGTAAATCAAAATAAAAACCTTTAATCAAAAGACAGTGGACACCACTGCATAACCTTTAGATTTATGAAATTGTGCAGGTCTTAGGGCTAGAGAAATGGCTCAGCAGTTAAGAGCACTTGTTACACTTGCAGAGGACCAGGGTTCAGTTCCCAGTACCACATGGCAGCTCACATAACTTCAGTTCCAAAGGATCTGGCACCCTCTTCTGGCCTCCAAGGGCACCATGTAAACATGAAGTACAATTAGGCAAAACACTCATGCATGTAAAATTTAATAAGTAAATATTTTTTAAAAGTGTAGGTCTGATAATACTAAATATCAGGGAGGCTATGGAGCCTCTACTGCTAAAATGATTAAATCAGCACATTCCTTTAGAAAATAGTTTATACATGGGCCCTCTGACCCAGTAATTCCACAGCTAGTTACACACACACACACACACACACACACACACACACACACAAACCCCTTAGTAACATTCTTGCATTCATAAACCAGAATGTAATACCAGTAAGGTTTGTTTATCACATCATCCAACCAGGTGTCCTGGCTCACATCTGTAATCCCAGCACTGAGAGGTCGAGACAGCCATCCTGGGGTATATGAGACTCTGACTTAAATGAGAAACCCAAATTAAACCCACTCAGGTGTCCATCAGAAACAGAACAGAGAACTGTGGCACATAAGAACACATAGCAGTGAGAAAGCAAAAAGGTTTCATGAAAAACAAACCCCACTGAGTAAAAGGAAACCAGACACTCACTACACTACATACATGAATATAAAATTAATGTAAAGTTCAAAGCCAGACAAAATATGTTATTGAGAGATGAAGGTATAGTTGCTAAAGTGTTTATGGAGGGAACAGGCAAACGAATAATGACTGGGTGGAAAGGGACTTGTCTTGAACTGGTGTTAGTTACACATATGTCCACTTTATATAGAGTTGCTAAACCATTCGTGTATGTCATATGAACTTTTCATTATACATATTTCAAAACTCACAAAGCTTCCCATTTGTAAGCCCTGGTGCCTGGAAATTTTATCCGCCCCCCCTCCCCTTGGCCTTCTGTCTATTCTCCCACAGAACTTTATCCCTACAGTATAACTTGTGTAAGTAACTTACTGATCATTGCTATCGTACACCAGTGATTTTAACTTCTCCCGTCACCCCCGTATTTCCCCGTCGGAGGGGCGTACTTCAAAACGAATGTGGCCAGTCTCTTGACACTGGCACTCGGTTCTCAAGCATACTTCGATGCTTTAGGGGCTTGCGTTTAACCCGCGGGTGGGATGAGCCCCCTTTTGCCGCTATAGAACCAAAAATTCAGGGAGATTCCATGCCTCTCAAGGTCAAAGGTCGCGGGAGGCGGGCTGAGCCTCTAACTGGGAAAAATGGAATCGTGGGTGTCACCATCGCCTCCTCGACCTCAGTCTCGGGTCGGCTTCCCAGAGCAGGGTGGACGCGGGCCACGGATACGACCCCGCGCAAGGCGGCGCGCACACCACCTCGTGTGCGCGGAGAACATTCGCAGCAAACCTGTTAACTTCCCGACTAAACGCCCACTCCCTCCCCGCGCCAGTTCTTTCCCGGGGGAAGACGTCCATGGAGTACTGACCTGAAGCGGCTCTCAGCGCACCTGTGAAGACGGACGCCGCCATCTTGCTACCTGACTACGGTGGCTGCAGTGGACCACAAACCAGAACAAGAAGATGAGCAACGCAGCGGAGGAGGAGTCAAGGGGAACAGGCGTGGCCAAGGGCAGGCAATCTGAACTGTGCCTTTATGCCAGGTTTTTTTTTTTTTTGTTTTTTTTTTTTGTTTTTTTTTTTTTAGATTTTTTTTGTTTATTATGTATACAACATTCTGCTTCCATGTATATTTGCACACCAGAAGAGGGCACCAGATCTCATAACGGATGGTTGTGAGCCACCATGTGGTTGCTGGGAATTGAATTCAGGACCTCTGGAAGAGCAGCCGGTGCTCTTAACCTCTGCGCCATCTCTCCAGCCCCTTTTATGCCAGGTTTTACCCTAAATCAACGACATTCTTATTATATATTTTGTGTGCGTGCAGGTTTGGGTCCATGCATACCACCGCGTGCCTGTGGAGGTTAGAGCAGAACTTGCAGGAGCCTGTTCTGTCCAAACTCCCCATTTTTGCAACAAGGTCTCCCCAGATCTCTAAGGTGACTTGGAACTCCTGGGCTCAAGTGATCTTACTTCAAATATAGCTGACAGTAAGGATAACAGTTGCTGTTGCTGAGCCAGCATGGGTTATGTAAAGTATCTTAAAAAGAAAATTTTAAAAAGCAAAACTAAGGTGAAAAAGAAGGAAGAGAAAGATCCAAAATACCAAGAAAGAAAAACACAGGACTCATTTAGAGAGTGGTTGTTTAATTTTGACCTCAGGACTCTTACACTCTATCGAGGAGCTAGCAGTGGCAACATACATCTAGAGTAACAGCCCTACAGCTGGTTGAGGCAGGAGGATCACTATGGGTTACACAGAAGACCTCAGAAAATTATTGAAAATTTCAAAGAGCTTCAATTTGTATGGATTATATCTACTGGTATTTGTTATACTAGAACTTAAAATTGGGAAAACATAAAAAAAAAAACACTTCTGTTGTTTTCCTATTACTGCTGCAACAAGTATCACAAACTTAGTGACTTGGCCATAAATTCACTATCAGAGTTCTATAGGCCAGAGACCTCAGATGAATTCCAAAGGCTAAAAATCAAGCTATCCTAAGGCCATGATGCTGGAAGCTCTAGAAGAGTCCTTTCTCTTGCTTTTTTTCCAATTTCTAGATCTGTCTGCAATCCTTGGCTTGTGAATGCTTTGTATTTTTGGTTTTTGTTTGTTTGTTTGTTTGTTGATTTTTAGAGACAGGGTTTCTCTGAAACTTGCTGTGTAGACCAGGCTGGCCTCAAACTCACAGAGATCCGCCTGCCTGTGTCTCCTGAGTGCTGGAGTTAAAGGTGTGCACCACCACTGCCTGGGAATGCCTTGTATTTTCAGACTGTACTCATGCCCCCACCCCCCTTCAGTCCTGTGTGATTGATCATACTGGGCCTACCCAGAAAATACAAGATGGTTTCTGCATTTCAAAAATACTTGATTTTTGGTACCAGAAATTGAACTCATGACTCACACATGCTAAGAATGTCCTCAATCGCTGAGCTACATCCCAAGTCCCAAAAGTCCTTTTGTTGTTGTTGTTTGTTTTGTTTTTCGAGACAGGGTTTCTCTGTGGCTTTGGAGGCTGTCCAGGAATTAGCTCTTGTAGACCAGGCTGGTCTCAACTCACAGAGATTTCGCCTGCCCCTGCCCCTCGAGTGCTGGGACTAAAGGCGTGCACTACCACTGCCTGGCTTTTTTTTTTTTTTTTTAAGACAGGGTTTCTGTGTGTAGCCCTGGCTATCCTGGAAGTTGCCCTGTAGACGAGGCTGAGGCTGGCCTCAAACTCACAGAGATCAAGCTGCCTTTGACTTCCAAGTGCTGGGATCTGGGATTAAAGGTGTGCAACATCATCACCTGGCCCATTTTTTTTTTTTTTTTAAAGGATAAGGTCTTAGCCAGGTGGTTGTGTCATGTGGGCATCACATACCTTTAATCTCAGCGCTCCTGAGACAGAGAGACAGAAGGATCTTTGCGAGTTCAAGGCCAGCCTTGTGTATAGTTCCAGAAGAGCCAGGGCTACACAGAGAAACCGTGGGGGGAGGCAAATAATACATTACTAGTACAAAAATAATTTTCAGTTTATGAGCTCCTCTGAAAGAGAACTGGGCTTCCCATGTCCGTATGGGTTATCTCAATCACATTTTGAAAATTCTCAACACAGTTAATTATACTTGCTTCTCTGGTACATGGGGTGGGCCTGGAACACTGTTGTTGATTGGCACTCTCTCACCTATGGTGGCTGTTTTGAGTTCAAAACTATCCACATATGGTAAAAGGCCATTGAGACACTCATAAAGGCTCTTTTAAAATATTAATTATTGTGGGGGGTTATATAAGGGGTTATATATGAGTGAGGGTTATGTGTGTGGGGGGGTGTTAACTATTGTGTGTGGGCCTATGTGTGGGGGGACTAACTTTCATATGTGAGGATTATACATGTGTGTGGGGACTAACATTCTGGGTTCCATCCCCCCTACCTTGTTGATGCAGGGTCTCTTGATATTTCTGCTGCTGTGCTACATATTTGAGGCTGTCTTTATCCAAGAACTATCAAGCCATTCTTGGCTCTGCTTCTCATTCCACCATGGGAGGTTTGCAGGTGAAGGGCCCACATCTGGCTTTTCCCGTGGTCCAGGCTTGTGCAGATGGGACTTTACTCAGGGCAATCTTCCAGCACAGTTAAAGGCTTTTTGATTGGTAAGGGAGTCATTGTGTTTTGTTTTGTTTTTTCCGAGACAGGGTTTCTCTGTATTGCTTTGGAGGTTGTCCTGCAACTCGCTCTGTAGACCAGGTTGGCCTTAAACTCACAGATATCCACCTGCCTCTGTCTCCCAAGTGCTGGGATTAAAGGTGTGCGCCACAAACACCCAGCTCGTAGTATTTTCTTTAACAAGGAAATTTTGTGACATAAACTTCCAAGTGACTTTAGTAGAGTCCTGGTAACACTTTCATTGTTATTTTTGGTTTTTTTTTTTTTTTTTTTTTTTTTTTTTTTTTTTTGGCCTTCTTTGTCTCATGAGTGCTGGAGATATAGGCCTACATTACCAGTCCCAAATCTAGTAATATTTTAAAACAACAAAAACATTCATGAGCTTTAGTGAGTACGGGTTAACTTGTCTGTCATTCTTTTTCATTAAAATATTGTGGTTATGTTTTGTATGGTGTGTTTGTGTGTACACATATATACAAAGAGTGTGGAGACCATGGAACATGGTCCATTCCTTAACACATATCTTCCTCTATCACTGTCCACCTTACTTAAAAATGCATTGTTACATTCAAATGTTGTGCATGTATGTGTGGGTGTGTGCTGGGGTGCATGTGTGTTTAGTGGACAGTTTTCAGTTCATTCTTCCTAGAATCAAACTAATTCAAATAGTGACAAATGCCCAGACTCACTGAGCCATCTTACTAATTTGATATGTGTATGTGTATATAATCTATGTACATACATGTGTGTATATGTCACATTTAGGGGTGGTGCCCTCTGAGGCTAGAAGAGCATATCAGAGCCTCTGGAGCTGGTGTTAGAGGTGGTTGAGATACTGAATCAAGACTCTGAAAACTAAGCTCAGGGTGCTCTTAAGAGATGGCTCATTGGTTAAGAGCACTAGCTGCTCTTTATAGGACCAGGGTTCAATTTCTAGCTTCCCAGCACCCACAGGGCAGCTCACAACTGTCTGTAACTCCAGTTCCACCCCAAGTGGTAAGTGATCTGTTCTAGTTTGCTTGTTGCTCCAGTGATAAAACACTGACAAAAAACAATTCTGGGGAGGAAAGGATTTATTTGGATCATATGTCCTTGACAATGATAAGTCACTGAGGAAATTCAGGGCAGGAATTAAAGACAAAAACCTGGAAACACGAACTGAATCAGAGACTACGGAGGAATGGCCACAGAGGAATGCTCCTTACTGGTTTAGCTTCCTTTATCCAAAATAATTTTTAAAATTATTTTAAGTTATATGAATGAAAGCCAGGCATGGTGGCACACACTGTTAATCCCAACACTCACGAGGCAGAAGCAGCTGAATCTGAGTTGCATGCCAGTCTGGTCTACAAATCGAGTTCCAAGACAGCCAGGACTACAAAGAGGAACCCTGTCTCAAAAGAGAAATATATGTATACATATATACATATACATATATACATATATGCATGAGTATGTGTCTATATTTGGGTGTCAATGCCCACTGAACATCAGGGGTGTTGGATGCCCCTGGAGCTGGACAAGCAGTTTTGAGCCACCTGATGTGGTTGCTGGAACTGAACTCTGGACTTCTGCAAGAGCAGTATATGCTCTTAACCACTGAGTCATTCTCCATCTCCCCCAAGTCCCCTTAGGTTGCTTTCTTATACAAACCAAGATCACCTGACAAGGGGTGGTACCATTCATAATCGGTTGAGCCTTGCCACATTAATCATTAGTCAAGAAAATCCCCCCAGAGAGATGCCCACAGGGCAGTCTGATAGAGGCTATTACTCAATGGAGTTCCCCTCTTCCCTGATGACTCAATTTTGTGTCAAGTTGATCAAAACTAGCCACCACAGATCTCACCTATTGAGCCGTCTCTATTGTCCCTCTTCCTCTTTGAGACAGGGTCTCTCAATTACTCTGAAGTTTATAGATTGCAGTAGACTGTGATCTCCAGGGATCTGTCTTTACCTTCCCAACAAAAAAGTTACAGACAATAAGTGTCATCATGCTCGGCTTTTTTAAGAATGATTTTTATTTCGTGAACAGGTGTTTTGCCTGCATATATGTCTGCACCACGTGCATGCAGTGCGACAGAGTGGATTCTGCAGTGCCACCACAGGGGTCCCGGGGGATCGAACTCGCACCGTCAGGGCTGGGAGCAAGCGTCCCTACCGGAGCTACCTTCCCAACCCCGCTTCGATTTCATTCTAAGAGTCATAGTAGTCCGTTTGGCGCCTGGTCGAACTTCACACACCATTCTCGTGCGGCTTCACCTAGTAACCCCAGTTCTTAGCGCTCAAGTTAGCGCCCGAGCGCGACCCGGAAGGAGAACCTGCCCTTCCGCCTCCGACTCGCCAATCAGCGCGG